TGCAGCCACATGTCGTTTACTTTTCTTGGAAAGCAAAGTTACACTTACATACTGTATGATTACTTTCTATTATGTAACACATGTTTATTAGGGTCCTAACTTTTAGAAGAGTATATAGTACTCTAAAGAAACTTCCTAAAATGGCACTGTTAGTAGTAAATAGTTTTTCAAGGTTAGTTTACTTATATAACATATTCATGAAATATCATTTAAAACTAACATTTTAAACAATACAATAACTCTGTTATATTTCATACTAATTTTTAAAGCTACCATTGCTCAACAGCCTTGAATCTCAGCTCCAATAAGGGGCTAGAGTTTGTGGCAATTTATAGAGACAAGGCCTACTCTTACTCTTGAAGGACTTGGCTGTGTTGCTAAGGCTGGATGATAAGGAACTCGTGAAGCTCCGGGCCTTGTTAGAGAAGTACAAGCAAGAAAACACCAAGATCACTGTCCGGTTTTCTGAGGATACAGATGGAGTGCTGCCTGTCAAGATCTTCCTTGAATATCTAGAGTATGAGAAGGATGCGCTCAGCATAAAGAAGATAAGTGAAGAGGAGTATGTGGCTCTCGGTAGGTAACATCCTGGAATCTGCTCCATATGCCCTCCCTCTTCTACAGAAGTCCTGGTACAAGTATACAGCAGCTCAGTATCTGCTTTTGTTTGAAGTTCAACAACCAAAGAATTCAGTGTACATATTTTTTGGTCAGTGATGTATTCTGGGTGTCCACACCATGTCACACACGTTTAATAAGCCTCCTGTGGAAGGGTTGGGGCTGAAGAGATGGCTCATTCAGTGAAGTGATTGCCACGCAGACATAGGGACCATGGTTTGAAGTCACAGCACCTGTGCAAAAGCCAGGCATGGTGCATCTGCCCGTAATCCAGCTCTGAGGAGACAGAGATAAGAGGATCCCCAGGGCTCTCTGGTCACCTAGTCTTGCCTAACTGATGAACTCCAGGTTCAGTGAGTGATCTATTTCAAAACATAAAGTGGGGAGCATTTGAGGAAGAACTCCTACACTGACCTCTAGCCTTCACCCATGCACATACACATACAATACACACACAAGGATCAGTTTTAAGACATGATGATTTCCCTTCTGTTCTCCTAAATCAAATTCAGACATTAAGTTCTTTTCTTTCGGGTGTGGAGACCTTTAATCCCAGCCCTCGAAAGGCAGAGGCAGATGGGTCTCTGTGAGTTTGAGGCTGGCCTGGTCTACATAGTGAGTTCCAGGACAGCTAGAGCTACATAGAGAAACCCTCACAAACAAATCAGCAACAACAACAACAACAAATTATTTTCTTTCATGCTGCCCTGCTCCTCTGGGATTCCATTTTGCAGTTAAGCAAGATTGTTAATCTGAGCATTCCTCCTCAGTAACATGTTTGTTTGTTTGTTTGTTTGTTTGTTTGTTTTGCTAGGCAGTTTCTTTTTTTGGAAGTGTTTGCATGGAGAAAGCTCCACTGAGGATATGTGTCATACTCTGGAGTCTGCGGGATTTAGCCCTCAGCAGTTACTGGTAAGGTTTTTACTGAATCCTTTGCAAAAGTTACATAGAAGTGTTAACTTTCAAATCATTCTCCTTAACATATCAAGAACACACATAAAAAACCTGAAATGATCAAAGAAAATTGTAATTACCATATTAAGATTGTGTTATTTTATCTTATAAATTTTTGGCCTCAAATAAATATAGACTCTAACAGGTAAATGCTTTTACAGTAGATTTTGATCATCAGTTGTTACCTTAGAAAGAAAGAATTCCTAAAAACAAACTTCTCTAAAATGTGAATAAAGTTGATGTCAATATTTTCAAGTTTCAAATATTCGAGGGTGCAGTCTTTACACACCTGTGAAACAGAAGAATCATCCAATGAGAAAACTGAAATACAAAGAGCAAGGAAGTTACCCATCCCCCTCAGCTCCTCCTTACTGCCTCCTGCTCATGCACAGGTGCACACAGCACACATCTCAGGTTTTGGCCAGCATTTGGACAGCCTCCCCCGTCAGCTTACTGACTATGTTCGTGTGTGCTTCCATTGAACATTCAGAAGTCCTTTAAAGATGGGTTCTTTCTACTAGTCTGTGAAAGTGTGTACCTCAGGAGGTAAGACAGTTAAAATTATGCATGAATATCAGTAAGCAGATGGGCTTTAGTTAGTGAAGTATTAAGCAAACTTCACATATTTTTATTGTATATTTGCAACAACAACAACAACAAAAAGATAGACCGAGGAACCATTGAGAAACACATTGTAACTTTCCCTTAAGGAAAATATACAAAGTGGGAAAAAGCCAATTTTAAAAAGATCCAAATTGGGGTATCTGTGTAACCTTTGTGAAAAAGCACAATGTTCTTGTTTTGAAAATTTGTTCTCTTACTGTAGTGATGACTGATCAGAACTATTCATGCTCTAAAACTGCATAAGGCTTTGTCTCCCCACCATCAAGGCAGAAACAGGCAGATCTCTGAGTTCAAGGCCAGCTTGGTCTACATAGTGAGTTCCAGGCCAGCCTTGTCTCAAAATTAATTTTTAAAATTGCATATGCAGCCAGGAAGTAGTGGTGCATGCCTTTAATCCCAGCACTTGGGAGGCATTGGCAGGTGAATTTCTGAGTTCAAGGACAGCCACGGCTACACTGTCTATTTCAAAAAGCAAAACAAAACAGAACAAAATTGCATATACACATACATATATACAAATAAGTACATTATAGCTCATGAAATATGACAGATTTTACCAATGTTAGTTTCTTGGTTTTGATCTTGGGTAAGATAGTAATATTAAGGGACATGGTGGAAAGGGTTCCTGAGACTTCACTGTGCCTTCCTGTCTGCTTTCCTTCCCTGTTTTACATGTATGCATGTCTGTTCCTGTTCGTGTGTGTGTGTGTGTGTGTGTGTGTGTGTGTGTACATGCACACACATGGGTTCTATGGAGCACCAAAAGTGATGTCAGAAGTCTTCCTTAATAGCGCTCCACTTTATTTATTATCACCATCAAATCTGCAGTGCTTTCCAAATAAAAATCTGTGAAGGAGGTTCAGATGGAGCTGTTGGAATGAAGGCTTCTTAGTTTACATTGTGAATTCAGTTGCATCAAAATTGTCTGCATCTCCATTTAAAAATAAGGAACACCCTTATTAGAATTATATTCATGAAAGTGCATGCTTTTAATCTTAGCAACTCAGGAAGCTGAGGCAAGAGGGCCATGAGTTTGAGACCAGCCCGAATTATACAATGAGACAATGTGTCTCATGACAGAACATAAAAAGAGGAATTTAAGGTGGAGAAAGGAGTCAGGGCAGGGGGATGGAGGAGGGAAAGAAAGTAGTTAATTTAGAAAGGCTTCCAGCCAGGTGTGAAAGCATAACTATGTCTATAATACCATCTTCTCGGGCAGAGGAGACAGGACCACAAATTTAAGGCCTGCCTGGGCTGTGGATATTCAGGCCAGCCTGCTTAACCCAGTAAAGCCCTGTCCCAAAATTTAAAAAGCAAAAGGAAGACTAGGGATATAGCTCAACAGTAAAGGGAATGCCTCTCAACAGTAAAGTGAATGCCTCTCAACAGTAGAGTGAATGCCTGGCATGTGCAAAGGCCCTGGGTTCAGTCATCCCTAGTACTATGGAGGGAAGAAGGGAGGAGAGGAGAGGCATTCTAGATGTATTTAAGTTTCTAGGCATTTACATTCAATTTAGTTCCTGTATTGCTGTGTTAGCATATGCATGTTTTCAGAACAGTTCTGGCTTTATCAAGTTCTGGTTGTATTCAGGAAAGACTAGAAAATGCAGCGCAGGTGAAAGATTGACTGGTAGTGCCTTGTGTGTAGAAAGACAAGGCCAGCAGGTGGTGTCCTGGCAGCTTATCTGCATCCTTTGAGTGCAGGAGTAAAGCATTAAGGAAGCATATAGAAGGAGATGCTCTGCAAGTCTTAGATATTAACTAATAGAACTGTAGAGTTCACTAAATTTTATAGTCTGTGCTGTTCCTTTTTTTTTTTTTTTAAAGATTTATTTATTTATTATGTATACAGCATGTATGACTGCAGGCCAGAAGAGGGCACCATATCTCATTACAGATAGCTGTGAGCCACCATGTGGTTGCTGGGAATTGAACTCAGGACCTCTGGAAGAGCAGTCAGTGCAGTCAGTGCTCTTAACCTCTGAGCCATTTCTCCAGGCCTTTTTTTTTTTTTTGTCTGCACTGTTCCTAATCAGTTACCCCAGCATTATTTCATGACTGTCTGTCTAAGTGTGGCATAGTGATATGTGGAATAGGATAATTCACATGTATGGATCCATGCTATCATGTTCCCATCATGCATGGCGCCTTCCTTTGCTGTGCTGGCTTGGAACACTGTCCTCCTTGTA